ACATTGTTACAGAAGTTGATATGTGACTACATACATTGTTACAATAGTTGATATGTGACTACTTACATTGTTACAGAAGTTGGTATGTGACTACTTACATTGTTACAGAAGTTGATATGTGACTACATACATTGTTACAATAGTTGATATGTGACTACATGCATTGTTACAGAAGTTTGTATGTGACTTCTTACATTGTTACAGAAGTTGATATGTGACTACTTACATTGTTACAGACATTGATATGTGACTACGTACATTGTTACAGACATTGATATGTGACTACGTACATTGTTACAATAGCTGATATGTGACTACTACTTACATTGTTACAGAAGTTGATATGTGACTACGTACATTGTTACTATAGCTGATATGTGACTACTACTTACATTGTTACAGAAGTTGGTATGTGACTACTTACATTGTTACAGAAGTTGTTATGTGACTACTTACATTGTTACAGAATTTGATATGTGACTACTTACATTGTTACAGAATTTGATATGTGACTACTTACATTGTTACAGACATTGATATGTGACTACTTACATTGTTACAGAAGTTGATATGTGACTACTTACATAAATAAAATAGTTGGTATGTGACTACTTACATTGTTACAGACATTGATATGTGACTACTTACATTGTTACAGACATTGATATGTGACTACTTACATTGTTACAGAAGTTGATATGTGACTACTTACATAAATAAAATAGTTGGTATGTGACTACTTACATTGTTACAGAATTTGATATGTGACTACTTACATTGTTACAGAAGTTGATATGTGACTACTTACATTGTTACAGAATTTGATATGTGACTACTTACATTGTTACAGAAGTTGATATGTGACTACATACATTGTTACAGAAGTTTGTATGTGACTACATACATTGTTACAGAAGTTTGTATGTGACTTCTTACATTGTTACAGAAGTTGATATGTGACTACTTACATTGTTACAGAAGTTGATATGCGACTACTTACATTGTTACAGACATTGATATGTGACTACTTACATTGTTACAGACATTGATATGTGACTACGTACATTGTTACAATAGCTGATATGTGACTACTACTTACATTGTTACAGAAGTTGATATGTGACTACGTGACTACATTGTTACAGAAGTATGTGTGTTACAGAAGTTGTTATGTGACTACTTACATTGTTACAGAAGTTGGTATGTGACTACTTACATTGTTACAGAAGTTGTTATGTGACTACTTACATTGTTACAGAAGTTGTTATGTGACTACTTACATTGTTACAGAAGTTGGTTTGTGACTATTTACATTGTTACAGAAGTTGGTTTGTGACTACTTACATAAATAAAATAGTTGGTATGTGACTTCTTACATTGTTACAGACATTGATATGTGACTACTTACATTGTTACAGAAGTTGATATGTGACTACTTACATTGTTACAGAAGTTGATATGTGACTACTTACATTGTTACAGATGTTGATATGTGACTACTTACATTGTTACAATAGTTGATATGTGACTACTTACATTGTTACAATAGTTGATATGTGACTACTTACATTGTTACAATAGTTGATATGTGACTACTTACATTGTTACAATAGTTGATATGTGACTACTTACATTGTTACAATAGTTGATATGTGACTACTTACATTGTTACAGAAGTTGGTTTGACTACTTACATTGTTACAGAAGTTGGTTTGTGACTACTTACATTATTACAATAGTTGATATGTGACTACTTACATTGTTATAGATGTTGATATGTGACTACTTACATTGTTACAATAGTTGATATGTGACTACTTACATTGTTACAATAGTTGATATGTGACTACTTACATTGTTACAATAGTTGATATGTGACTACTTACATTGTTACAATAGTTGATATGTGACTATTTACATTGTTACAGAAGTTGATATGTGACTACTTACATTGTTACAATAGTTGATATGTAACTACTTACATTGTTACAATGGTTGATATGTGACTACTTACATTGTTACAATAGTTGATATGTGACTACTTACATTGTTACAATAGTTGATATGTGACTACTTACATTGTTACAATAGTTGATATGTGACTACTTACATTGTTACAATAGTTGATATGTGACTACTTACATTGTTACAATAGTTGATATGTGACTACTTACATTGTTACAGAAGTTGGTTTGTGACTACTTACATTATTACAATAGTTGCTATGTGACTACTTACATTGTTATAGAAGTTGGTTTGTGACTACTTACATTGTTACAATAGTTGATATGTGACTACTTACATTGTTACAATAGTTGATATGTGACTACTTACATTGTTACAGAAGTTGGTTTGTGACTACTTACATTATTACAATAGTTGGTATGTGACTACTTACATTGTTACAGAAGTTGGTTTGTGACTACTTACATTGTTACAATAGTTGATATGTGACTATTTACATTGTTACAGAAGTTGATATGTGACTACTTACATTGTTACAATAGTTGATATGTAACTACTTACATTGTTACAATGGTTGATATGTGACTACTTACATTGTTACAATAGTTGATATGTGACTACTTACATTGTTACAATAGTTGATATGTGACTACTTACATTGTTACAATAGTTGATATGTGACTACTTACATTGTTACAATAGTTGATATGTGACTACTTACATTGTTACAATAGTTGATATGTGACTACTTACATTGTTACAGTTACAGAAGTTGGTTTGTGACTACTTACATTATTACAATAGTTGCTATGTGACTACTTACATTGTTATAGAAGTTGGTTTGTGACTACTTACATTGTTACAATAGTTGATATGTGACTACTTACATTGTTACAATAGTTGATATGTGACTACTTACATTGTTACAGAAGTTGGTTTGTGACTACTTACATTATTACAATAGTTGGTATGTGACTACTTACATTGTTACAGAAGTTGGTTTGTGACTACTTACATTGTTACAATAGTTGATATGTGACTACTTACATTATTACAGTAGTTGGTATGTGACTACTTACATTGTTACAGACGTTGATATGTGACTACTTACATTGTTACAATAGTTGATATGTGACTACTTACATTGTTACAGAAGTTGGTTTGTGACTACTTACATTGTTACAATAGTTGATATGTAGCTACGTACATTGTTACAATAGTTGCTATGTGACTACTTACATTGTTACAGACGTTGATATGTGACTATTTACATTATAACAGATGTTAGAATGTGACTTTTTCATGCTTTCTTTATAATGATAGACTTTAAGACTCTTTGAATGATTTTTCTCTGATTACTAGCGGTTGATGCCACTGGTGTACAGATTTCAGTTCGTCACCATAATGACACCTGCTATATTTAGGAGATTCTCTCCAGCAGGTGAGAAATGTAATTATCTCTTACTGTCATAATAACAGATAATGGGAAATTAGCACTGAGCACTATTACATGCTGGTAGGTGTAACGTAACAAACAGAGGAACACCTGACAGTCTGTTGTGTAGGGTAAGGTAGTGACATTGGAGGTAAACATCCTGTTACTGACAGTCTGTTGTGTAGGGTAAGGTAGTGACATTGGAGGTAAACATCCTGTTACTGACAGTCTGTTGTGTAGGGTAAGGTAGTGACATTGGAGGTAAACATCCTGTTACTGACAGTCTGTTGTGTAGGGTAAGGTAGTGACATTGGAGGTAAACATCCTGTTACTGACAGTCTGTTGTGTAGGGTAAGGTAGTGACATTGGAGGTAGACATCCTGTTACTGACAGTTTGTTGTGTAGGGTAAGGTAGTGACATTGGAGGTAAACATCCTGTTACTGACAGTTTGTTGTGTAGGGTAAGGTAGTGACATTGGAGGTAAACATCCTGTTACTGACAGTCTGTTGTGTAGGGTCAGGTAGTGACATTGGAGGTAAACATCCTGTTACTGACAGTCTGTTGTGTAGGGTAAGGTAGTGACATTGGAGGTAAACATCATGTTACTGACAGTCTGTAGTCTAGGGTAAGGTACTGACATTGGAGGTAAACATCCTGTTACTGACAGTCTGTTGTGTAGGGTCAGGTAGTGACATTGGAGGTAAACATCCTGTTACTGACAGTCTGTAGTCTAGGGTAAGGTACTGACATTGGAGGTAAACATCCTGTTACTGACAGTCAGTAGTCTAGGGTAAGGTAGTGACATTGGAGGTAAACATCCTGTTACTGACAGTCTGTAGTCTAGGGTAAGGTACTGACATTGGAGGTAAACATCCTGTTACTGACAGCATGTTGTGTAGGGTTAGGTACTGACATTGGAGGTAAACATCATGTTACTGACAGTCTGTTGTGTAGGGTAAGGTACTGACATTGGAGGTAAACATCCTGTTACTGACAGTCTGTAGTCTAGGGTAAGGTAGTGACATTGGAGGTAAACATCCTGTTACTGACAGTCTGAAGTCTAGGGTAAGGTAGTGACATTGGAGGTAAACATCCTGTTACTGACAGTCTGAAGTCTAGGGTAAGGTAGTGACATTGGAGGTAAACATCCTGTTACTGACAGTCTGTAGTCTAAGGTAAGGTACTGACTTTGGAGGTAAACATCCTGTTACTGACAGTCAGTAGTCTAGGGTAAGGTAGTGACATTGGAGGTAAACATCCTGTTACTGACAGCATGTAGTGTGATCTTTAAAAGTATCATAAAATACAAAAATGTATAGTATTTACCGCAACTTCACTCGTAGAGACTACCAGTGGATTGATCTAAACAAATAGTACTTCCTGAAAACGGTAGTATGACCTAAGTGGTATTGATGCCCTCTGTATATAAATAAAGTCTCTACCAAGAAGATATACTGAAAACACATGGAAATTTCCCCACAATCTGGACATTTATCCAAAACAGATCTTATTATTATAGTTTACATAACGTATGCTAATAATGCTATCATGAAAAAGATTAAGTAATCTTGTACAGTGGCTGTTCGTTCTATTTTATAGAGTACCGAGAGGTGTTTGATGTATACGATAAAAACAAAGATGGCGTGATTGAAGCGAAGGAGTTAGAGAAAGTGATGCGAGACTTGGGGCAGAACCCAAGCAGTGATGAGATCAGCGAGCGGATGAGCGAGGGTGACATCAACGGTAGGTTTCTCGTGATCGTGTTTGAGGATCAATAGCGAGTAAAGAGACCCATTCTGATGGATTGTTGTCTATTACATTCAAACCAGGGTCCGTTTGTTTGGTCCTTGGTGTTTTAACAACTCCTAAGATCCTGTAAGTGTTTCGTATAAAGTTCAAGCTATTGTTTCGTGTTTGATTTCCGCCCTTACGTATCTACGTGTAAGTAATTAAATATGAATTAAGTTTCTGAATTTAAGATCTAATTGCCCTCTTAATGATGTTTCAGCAAAAATTTGAATGAAACCCGTTCAAACATTAAGGAAGAATAGCGTTTTAATGCATAATATTGACTAACGTCCCCATTTTGGGGCACCGCCCCTGGTTTCAACTTTCTGAATTTAAGAAATAATTCCCTAATGATATTTCAGACCAAATTTGGTTGCAATCCGTCCATTGGTTAAGAAGAAGTAAAGGTTTCATGGAAATATTTACGGACGGCGCACGATATCAGTAGGTCATCTTGATTCAGGTTCAGATGACCTCAACATTCTTTCCATTGATTGGACGTGTACTGTGTTAGTGATAATGCTCCATAACGTTCATTTCTTCATGCTACCTCAACCAGTTTGCATTATTTCTGTATCTCAGACGTCATCCAATATCAGAAATTATATGTGGTAATCTAAATTCAAACTTCCCAAATAACTGTAACAGAGGTCAATATTTTTTAATGCTCCGCAAGGAATCGAACCCATGACTGCTGGATATGATGATACTGTCGATGACGACTTTTTCATTGATTTACATGGCACTTTCTATTAATGGTTGTGGAATTCGTTAAGTATTATGTCCTTGTCGAAACAACAACGGAGTGATACAAATGTGACATTTATCGGAAATGTATGCTGCTAATCCCTGGTTGAGAGGCCATGATTACATGTGTCCGTCACTTTGTCCTGAGTGTATATCGATCGGCAGACACTGTGACCTCTGTATGACCCGATAATACATCTATTTTAGCTTACTAAGAAGGTAACTCCGCAATCGGTCACGACTCCTCATTAAGTGTATCTAGTGTCCGCATCCAGCCAGTTACTTACGACGTGTTTCACTTGTTTTTGGAGAAGATACTGAGGCCGAAATTATGATCTGTCACCTATACGAACACATACATATGTAACAACAATATGATTGGTAATTTGTGTTTTATATGACAGCTCTTGTGAGATGTTCAAAATGTGGTGATTGTACATGAATCATTCTTAGTTGTTTATATCCAATTTTCTGTAGAACATATTTGTAGATGTTTGGTTCGTTTGTAGTTTTATTTCATTCTATTGTATCGGGGGGAAAGACAAGCAAAACGTTTCATTTACTCATTCCAGTATTGTTTCCTGGTGTAATATATCTAAAATGATTACTCAGTGACATGTCTCATTCCTTCCTCATTCGTCGTTGTTTAAAGTAATATGACCAGATAAGGTATATGAGTGGTATCCTGTTACTCACACGCTAGCCTATGTTTGTATAATTTACTAGCTCAGTCTCTTGTTTTTACCACTCTCTATAACCTCTACATTTCTTCGGATTCTTCTTCCGGTCTATATATAACTATACATGCGAATGTAGGATCTTGTAGTCCAGTAATAAGGAACAGTGTTGTAGACATACAGAAACATGTAAATAAACCCACCCGAGACTGTAGGATCTTGTAGTCCAGTAATAAGGAACAGTGTTGTAGACATACAGACATGTAAATAAACCCACCCGAGACTGTAGGATCTTGTAGTCCAGTAATAAGGAACAGTGTTGTAGACATACAGAGATATGTAAATAAACCCACCCGAGACTGTAGGATCTTGTAGTCCAGTAACGAGGAACAGTGTTGTAGACATACAGAGACATGTAAATAAACCCACCAGTGTTGTAGACATACAGAGACATGTAAATAAACCCACCCGAGACTGTAGGATCTTGTAGTCCAGTAACGAGGAACAGTGTTGTAGACATACAGACATGTAAATAAACCCACCCGAGACTGTAGGATCTTGTAGTCCAGTAATAAGGAACAGTGTTGTAGACATACAGAGATATGTAAATAAACCCACCCGAGACTGTAGGATCTTGTAGTCCAGTAATAAGGAACAGTGTTGTAGACATACAGAGACATGTACATAAACCCACCCGAGACTGTAGGATCTTGTAGTCCAGTAATAAGGAACAGTGTTGTAGACATACAGAGACATGTACATAAACCCACCCGAGACTGTAGGATCTTGTAGTCCAGTAACGAGGAACAGTGTTGTAGACATACAGAGACATGTACATAAACCCACCCGAGACTGTAGGATCTTGTAGTCCAGTAACGAGGAACAGTGTTGTAGACATACAGAGATATGTAAATAAACCCACCCGAGACTGTAGGATCTTGTAGTCCAGTAATAAGGAACAGTGTTGTAGACATACAGACATGTAAATAAACCCACCCGAGACTGTAGGATCTTGTAGTCCAGTAATAAGGAACAGTGTTGTAGACATACAGAGACATGTAAATAAACATGTAAATAAACCCACCCGAGACTGTAGGATCTTGTAGTCCAGTAACGAGGAACAGTGTTGTAGACATACAGAGACATGTAAATAAACCCACCCGAGACTGTAGGATCTTGTAGTCCAGTAACGAGGAACAGTGTTGTAGACATACAGACATGTAAATAAACCCACCCGAGACTGTAGGATCTTGTAGTCCAGTAATAAGGAACAGTGTTGTAGACATACAGAGATATGTAAATAAACCCACCCGAGACTGTAGGATCTTGTAGTCCAGTAATAAGGAACAGTGTTGTAGACATACAGAGACATGTACATAAACCCACCCGAGACTGTAGGATCTTGTAGTCCAGTAATAAGGAACAGTGTTGTAGACATACAGAGACATGTACATAAACCCACCCGAGACTGTAGGATCTTGTAGTCCAGTAACGAGGAACAGTGTTGTAGACATACAGAGACATGTACATAAACCCACCCGAGACTGTAGGATCTTGTAGTCCAGTAACGAGGAACAGTGTTGTAGACATACAGAGATATGTAAATAAACCCACCCGAGACTGTAGGATCTTGTAGTCCAGTAACGAGGAACAGTGTTGTAGACATACAGACATGTAAATAAACCCACCCGAGACTGTAGGATCTTGTAGTCCAGTAACGAGGAACAGTGTTGTAGACATACAGACATGTAAATAAACCCACCCGAGACTGTAGGATCATGTTGTAATCCTGTTACAGTGTTGTAGACATACAGACATGTAAATAAACCCACCCGAGGCTGAAACAGACTGGAGATATCTCATTCTTATTCACACATCTAATTTTTTTTTTTATTAAACAGTGATATAATTTTCGCTATAACCTCAATAACCGTCTGTTCTAGGTTATACATAAGAATGAAAATTAAATATTACCATCATTACTTCATAAGCAAATCGTTTCAAAACGCTTCTCGTAAATCATTGTTTTGATATTCATACCAATACTTATATCTGTTTGATATATCAATTTTCGTGATATATTAATTTTCGTGAAAAATTAATACATTGGCCCAAATAGGACATTATGCTGAATATGAAGGCTCCCCGGCAGAGGTTTTAGTCGCTGTAGCAATAATCCGCGGGCTGTCCACATACAGCCATCCACGAAGGGGATAAAACAGGATTTGAAATTATATTATGTCAAAGTTTATGCCGTTAAATGGTTAAAACATCCATTTTATACTGCTGAATGGAAATCCTATACAATGACGTAATTTATGTACTACATGTTCTACTACGTCTCTCCACCCCTGCGCCGTGTACCGACTTTTATTCGGGTTATCTCCCCTGGTAAGTCGAAGTCCTTGAACCATGGCGGACCATTGTATATATTGTATATATATGTGTGATGTTTAACAATCGGTCAATACTTGGGAGACAAAGGGAATGTATATTCACTTTCACTTCTTCTTAAGTCCAGTGACTCTGTCTCTGTGATCTAGTTTCTTACACAATAGGTAATTAAAATGTTTTTTTTTAACTTACGAAAAGTGTAGTGATAACAATCAATAAAGAATTTTCTTTGAAAAAACCCAGAACATTTTTTCATGAAGCAAAACAGAGTTTTCTAGAAACAGCTTTATACGTTCGAATGGCTGCAAATTTTGTTCGTAATTATAAAATTAACTATAAAACAAAAACAAAACAAAAACGAAATAGATAAAATCACGGATAGATAATCAAAACTTTGACATTTCACAAAGTCGGTCCGAGCCACTGTCACTAGAATTTTAAAGGTCAAGAAACCTGACTTTTATCTTTATGTAAAACATTTTGTATCGAAAAAATCCAGATTGGGTATGAAGTATATCATTACCCTTGATATTGACATTTTGCATATTCGCCCACTAATGAAAAAAAAAAATCTTTACGTCAAATAACTTACACATTTCCTGTTCCAGGCGATGGAACAATCGATTTTCACGAGTTTCTTCTGATGATGGTCAAACGACGGAAATGTCCGAGGAATGACGATGACCTTCAGCGGGCATTTAGTGTATTCGATAAGGACGGAAATGGTTTCATATCCAGAGAGGAACTAAGAAGTGTCATGGAAACGCTAGGAGAGAAACTCACCGACAGCGAACTGGACGAAATGTTGAAGGAAGCGGACAAAGATGGCGACGGTCAAGTTAACTATGAAGGTAAGCATTAATAACGGTCAAAGTTAGAGATTCCTGGCCATACATCAACCCATATGTCACGGTATCTTAACTACAGCACATATCTGCTGATTCCCCTTTATCCGTCCATGTTTCTCGCTCCGATTATAAGGATTCTTTAAATAAATTCATATTTTAAAAGTATCACAATGCATTCAGACGTTTAAGTTAAACCACATTTCCAAAGTAAACTAAAGAAATACTTGATGGAATCTTGGTCACTTCACTGTTCGTGAACGAGAGATGATCGGTTTAAAACCCCATATACAGACATTCTACATGTGGAGGAGAAAACATGCTAATGTGAGATCGTTGAACAGCACCGACCAGGAGTTAGATCTTCGCCAACATGTCTAGATATTTACTTTTTACCCGTAAGGTCGACCAGATCATCATATTCCCAACTAAGGCTGATTGGTTTGATCCTCAAATGGAGAAAAGGTCAAAGCATTCTGGGAGAAATGTATTAGTGGGAAGGAAAACAGAAATTTATTCATTTTAATCCTGATTTATTTTATCCAAAACATAAGAGTAACAATAAATAACTATTCTATATATCGTTTCCTGAAATCCTTCGTGCATGTACCATGTGTATACGGTTTTCCATGCTAGCCTGGTAGTCACTATTTCCATGTGCAAGTCAGGCTGGCCATGTCCAGCTGTTTGAGGTCGTGTGCTGCTATCTATATGTCAAGTACCTTTCCATAAGTTTTCTCCGTGTCTAAGGCATACATCACCGGACCACAGCAAACGTGTTTAAGAAAAGATACTAAATGTTTTTGTTCGGTGTGTAAATAAAAGAGCGTGGACGTAAATACAGCGGTGACTAGCCGTATATAGATAGCATTACAGCCTCTCACATGATACCCAGGCAATCGGATACCTAGGCCTAGGAATGCCTTTGTGTGTGTTTTATTGTAAGATGTTATGTAATAGGAAAACTATTCTACCACAGGAGAACATCGCTTTGTATCAATTCAGGACAAGAGACTGGATATAACAGACGTATTTATGGTAGTCGGTTTTGGTGACTAATACGTAATCCGTTCTGTCTGTTTCTCTGGTCCACTAGTCTAAACTTGTTAACAAGCTTTACACTATCGATCTTTCTAGGTAAATTCGCTGACCCAAACACTTTTCCACATATATACATGTATTTTCAAACGTCTGTTAAATTTCGAACATCGTTATGTTTATATCTTTATTTTTTATCAGTGAAAAAAGATATTTCACGGGGAAAATATAACTGATCGTTTCACTGAGTGGAAACAACAAGTTTTCTTATCGCCACTCATTGGTGAACAATCAGATCATAGCATTTGCTCTGAAAATAATAATCCTCCCAGAGAATAATAGGGATTTAAAGAACGACAACTCTGATAGAGCCGTTAGAATTGAAGGAACCCCTTTTTATAATGTACTGACCGTGGTCAATCCTAATCAGCCACTATAGCATTACTTGTATACTAACGTAATCAAGAGCTTGTGTCTCGGATCTATTATCTGGCGAAATCTTTACACCAGCATAAACAAAGGAAAACAACGTAATTATTTATACAACATTACTTGTTTCTAAACGACTAACGGTTCAATTTCATTACGTGAACTGGAAACTTTTATAGTTTTCACGAGTTTAAAATTCCCATCCCATTCGATGAGATGTAATCGTTATTCTTCTATAAATTTTGTGATATCATGAATGTACGACTTTGACAAACATGGTCAATCTAAGCTCTTGATTAAATTCACATTTATTGTGCACTTATTTTATCAACGGTCTTTTTTCTGTTGTAGAGTTTGTACAGATCATGGAGGAAAGATAAAAAGATACACTCACGTGCATCAAAACTACGTAGGAATGGACATTCGTGATCTACAAAACACAGTTTCTGTGTCTGCGTAGCTCGTCTAAGTCTGGGATTTGATTCGGTGAACACCGGCTTCACCAACGCACAGATGATACCGAAAATTACAATCAATCTTGTCTGAAAGTTTAATTATACTTTTTACGTGAAATGTATAAATCATATGACATGAATTGCTATTTCAATAATTATGTACTTACTGTTGATTTTAATATCACGTTTTGGATTTTTTCACATTAATATGTGATATAACTGTTATCATTTTTGTTGAAAAAAACATTATCAATCGCACCAAACCACATGCGACATTACCTGAGTAACTTGTGACATTTCTGTGTTTCATTTGTCATTGCATGTGTATAAGGTTACATTATGTGTTCTACGTGTCATTTCATGGGTATCATGTGACATTTATTGTGTACACGTCACATGTACAGTTTATACACCATTTGTATATGTAGTCATAATATACAAATAAATTATTCTTCTTAAAGTTTGTTTTCCATCATTATATTTGTATAGAGTGTCACACGTCGGTTGGCGCAGTCATAACGCACTCGCCTTGCACCTAAACCTCCGGGGACTCGATTTACTTGTGATCTTGAAAAAAATTAATGAGATAACCTTCTCGACCATGGGATTTCCCGGGTGTTCCTGTTTCCTCAAACAATGAGACCTCTCGCGCGCTTCAAATCGGACCAAAAAGAATGTTGAATGGAAGTTGAACGAACAATTGTTGTAATGTATATAATAATATTTTATCGCGTCTGGTCTTCGCGATCTCTCTTTAATTGGTGCGTAAAATTTTAGCAAGAACAACACGTGATTCAGTAATTTTACGTCAATGATAATATTACGCTTGACTATTCATGTAACATTGAAAGCGTCAGTTGAAATCTTTTCAAACCACACATATCTGATAAATATATCAATAAATGAAAAATGGATGGCTGGTCACTTTTATCTTAAAGTTGTTTTCCCAAAAATTGTTTGGCGTAATTATATAAAATTCAAAACTTTAACGGATACAAGCAGATTGATATCTTTTAAGAAATACATTTTTTCAATGCAACAAAAAAGTTTTTTTTAAAGTTATGAATATTTTAAAAAAACGATATTTAGCAAGCCATTCGTGTGAAACCATGCACGATGTATAGGGTACAGTAGAGATATATGTGACCCGCGTGTTCCGACAATCACAGTATACATAGACTCACATGTGTCCATGGATTTTGTTGACGGGGTATTTCGGCATTATTAATTAATTGCCGGCTCCAAATGATTTAACAGCATCAATTCGACATCGAGAGATTTCCTTTCCCAGTCACCTCTTGCCACTCCCCTTCTGACTCTGATGCAAATGATAAAGCGAATATTTATTGGCCAGATATCATCAAAAACAAGAGTTTTCGGGCACCTGGTCAATTACATCTTCTAATTTCCAAAGAGAGAGAGAGAGAGAGAAAAAAACTTAATCCGAGTAATATTTAAACCCGTCGTTTCTCACTCATAAGTATGTCCAGAATTCCGTGCTTGTTACTCCGTTTTTAACGACTGTGCACACAACAGGTTTGGAAAATTCTGAACTATAATAATCCTCCTATCTATAACTGACGCACAAACATTTTATTTTATGAATTAACATCAACAAATATTATTGGTGTTGTTTGCTGTAATCTGGAAAAATAAAACCTGAGCCGTTGTCACTTTTTTATTTACATATAGGGCTGTGATAATTTAACATAACTTCTGTGTTTGTTTTAAAACGATCAAAGTATAGAAAGTGAAGTACAACAAAGCCTGGGAAATGGTAATTGAACTATGTATACCACATTATCAGTACAGTGACAAACAAACGTGGTGTACGTGGTAAAATTTAATCAATAATCCATTTTATTACATGACTTTATTTTGTCCTGTTTTCTGATTGACCGATTTTAAGCATACCAACATTGTTCAACTTTGGAAAATTACATTAAGACTTAATCAATGAAACAATACTAGTTCGTAGCCAAATATACAAATGGGTTCGGGAAATATCACTTCCTCAAGTAGATCAATTATCGTATTCACCTATCAACAGGGTGATAATTACATCTTATACAATGTGTACTAGATGTCTGTTACAATGTGTACTAGATGTCTATCACACTGTGTACTAGATGTCTGTTACAATGTTAATGTGTACTAGATGTCTGTTACAATGTGTACTAGATGTCTATCACAATATGTACTAGATGTCTGTTACAATGTTAATATGTATTAGATGTCTATTACAATGTGTACTAGATGTCTATTACAATGTGTACTAGATGTCTATTACAATGTTAATGTGTACTAGATGTCTATTACAATGTTAATGTGTGCTTGATGTCTATTACAATGTTAATGTGTACTAGATGTCTGTTACAATGTGTATTAGATGTCTATCACACTGTGTACTAGATGTCTGTTACAATATTAATGTGTACTAGATGTCTATCACAATATGAACTAGATGTCTGTTACAATGTGTACTAGATGTCTATTACAATGTGTACTAGATGTCTATTACAATGTTAATGTGTACTAGATGTCTATTACAATGTTAATGTGTGCTTGATGTCTATTACAATGTTAATGTGTACTAGATGTCTGTTACAATGTGTATTAGATGTCTATCACACTGTGTACTAGATGTCTGTTACAATATTAATGTGTACTAGATGTCTATCACAATATGAACTAGATGTCTGTTACAATGTGTACTAGATGTCTATTACAATGTTGACTAGATTTTTGTTACAATGTTAATGTGTAATAGAATTCTATCACAATGTGTACTAGATGTCTATCACAATGTGTACTAGATGTCTATTACAATGTGTACTAGATGTCTGTTACAATGTGTACTAGATGTCTATTACAATGTGTACTAGATGTCTATTACAATGTTAATGTGTACTAGATGTCTATTACAATGTTAATGTGTGCTTGATGTCTATTACAATGTTAATGTGTACTAGATGTCTGTTACAATGTGTATTAGATGTCTATCACAATGTGTACTAGATGTCTATCACAATGTGTACTAGAAGTCTATCACAATATGAACTAGATGTCTGTTACAATGTGTACTAGATGTCTATCACAATGTGTACTAGATGTCTATCACAATATGAACTAGATGTCTGTTACAATGTGAATGTGTACTAGATGTCTATTACAATGTGTACTAGATGTCTATCACAATATGTACTAGATGTCTGTTACAATGTTAATGTGTACTAAATATCTATTACAATGTGTACTAGATGTCTATCACAATGTATACTAGATGTCTGTTACAATGTGTACTAGATGTCTATTACAATGTGTACTAGATGTCTGTTACAATGTGTAACAGATGTATTACAATATGTATTAGATGTCTATCACCATGTGTACTAGATGTCTGTTACAATGTGTACAAGATGTCTATCACAATGTGTACTAGATGTATGTTACAATGTGTACTAGATGTCTATCGCAATGTGCACTAGATGTCTATCGCAATATATACTAGATATATATTACAATGTGTATTAGATGTCTATCGCAATATGTAGTAGATGTCTATTACAATGTGTACTAGATGTCTGTTACAATGTGTACTAGATGTCTATCACAATATGTACTAGATGTCTGTTACAATGTTAATGTGTATTAGATGTCTATTACAATGTGTACTAGATGTCTATTACAATGTTGACTAGATTTTTGTTACAATGTTAATGTGTACTAGATGTCTGTTACAATGTGTACTAGATGTCTATCACCATGTGTACTAGATGTCTGTTACAATGTGTACTAGATGTCTATTACAATGTGTACTAGATGTCTGTTACAATGTTTATGTGTACTTGATGTCTGTTACAATGTTAATGTGTACTAGATGTCTGTTACAATGTGTACTAGATGTCTGTTACAATGTGTACTAGATGTCTGTTACAATGTGTACTAGATGTCTATCACCATGTGTACTAGATGTCTATTACAATGTGTACTAGATGTCTATTACAATGTGTACTAGATGTCTATTACAATGTTAATGTGTACTTGATGTCTATTACAATGTTAATGTGTACTAGATGTCTGTCACAATGTGTATTAGATGTCTATCACACTGTGTACTAGATGTCTGTTACAATGTTAATGTGTACTAGATGTCTATCACAATGTGTACTAGATGTCTATCACAATATGAACAAGATGTCTGTTACAATGTGTACTAGATGTCTATCACAATATGAACTAGATGTCTGTTACAATGTGTACTAGATGTCTATCACAATATGAACTAGATGTCTATCACAATGTTGACTAGATTTTTGTTACAATGTTAATGTGTACTAGAATTCTATCACAATGTGTACTAGATGTCTATCACAATATGAACTAGATGTCTATCACAATGTGTACTTGATGTCTATCACAATATGTACTAGATGTCTGTTACAATGTTAATGTGTACTAAATATCTATTACAATGTGTACTAGATGTCTATCACAATATGTACTAGATGTCTGTTACAATGTTAATGTGTACTAAATATCTATTACAATGTGTACTAGATGTCTATGACCATGTGTACTAGATGTCTGTTACAATGTTAATGTGTACTAAATATCTATTACAATGTGTACTTGATGTCTATCACAATATGTACTAGATGTCTGTTACAATGTTAATGTGTACTAAATATCTATCACAATGTGTACTAGATGTCTATCACAATGTGTACTAGATGTCTATCACAATATGAACTAGATGTCTATTACAATGTGTACTAGATGTCTATGACCATGTGTACTAGATGTCTGTTACAATGTTAATGTGTACTAAATATCTATTACAATGTGTACTAGATGTCTATCACAATATGTACTAGATGTCTGTTACAATGTTAATGTGTACTAAATATCTATTACAATGTGTACTAGATGTCTATCACAATATGTACTAGATGTCTGTTACAATGTTAATGTGTACTAAATATCTATTACAATGTGTACTAGATGTCTATGACCATGTGTACTAGATGTCTGTTACAATGTTAATGTGTACTAAATATCTATTACAATGTGTACTTGATGTCTATCACAATATGTACTAGATGTCTGTTACAATGTTAATGTGTACTAAATATCTATCACAATGTGTACTAGATGTCTATCACAATGTGTACTAGATGTCTATCACAATATGAACTAGATGTCTATTACAATGTGTACTAGATGTCTATGACCATGTGTACTAGATGTCTGTTACAATGTTAATGTGTACTAAATATCTATTACAATGTGTACTTGATGTCTATCACAATATGTACTAGATGTCTGTTACAATGTTAATGTGTACTAAATATCTATTACAATATGTACTAGATGTCTGTTACAATGTTAATGTGTACAAGATGTCTATCACACTGTGTACTAGATGTCTATTACAATGTTGACTAGATGTCTATCACAAAATGTACTAGATGTATATTACAATTTGTACTAGATGTCTGTTACAATGTTAATGTGTACTTGATGTCTATTACAATGTTAATGTGTACTTGATGTCTGTTACAATGTTAATGTGTACTAGATGTCTGTTACAATGTGTATTAGATGTCTATCACCATGTATACTAGATGTCTGTTACAAAGTGTACTAGATGTCTATCTCAATGTGTACTAGATGTCTGTTACAATATGTACTAGATGTCTATTACAATGTTGACTAGATTTTTGTTGCAATGTTAATGTGTACTAGATGTCTGTTACAATGTGTATTAGATGTCTATCACCATGTGTACTAGATGTCTGTTACAATGTTAATGTGTACTAAATATCTGTTACACTGTGTACTAGATGTCTGTTACAATGTATACTAGATATATATTACAATGTTAATGTGTACTAGATGTCCATCACAATATGTACTATATGTCTGTTACAATATGTACTAGATGTCTATCACAATGTGTACTAGATATATATATTACAATGTTAATGTGCACTAGATATCTATCACAATGTGTACTAGATGTCTATCGCAATGTGTACTAGATGTCTGTTACAATGTTAATGTGTATTATATATCTATCACAATGTGTACTAGATGTCTATTACGATGTTAATGTGTACTAGATGTCTGTTACAATGTGTACTAGAGGTCTATCACAATATGTACTAGATGTCTATCACAATGTTAATGAACGACACTATTTTATCAATACACAAATATAGTGTAACACATTCATTTATATCTACGTTAAGACTTTTGATTGATATTAAATGCAATGTTATATAGTTATCAATACGTAGATATAGTACAATGTAGATATCTCCTTTTAAATGATGATTTCTTGTTAATAGGTATATGTATGACTATATAGTTATAATTATATCTATACATTTATAGTAATATACAGTAAATACATAACATAGTAGAATGCTGTACTCTACACAACACAAAGTATACAACATGCAGTTCACGTACATAAATTTGTACACAGGAGAAATTCTGTTAATAATCCTTCCTTTTTATATTGTCAGATAGATATACTTGTCAGTGATAAAATCGACAGATAAGAATTTATTTCTCGCCATGGTTTATGCGTTATGTTTGGGAGGAATTCAGTCTGGGTTGACTAGACTATTAAAATAACAATAAAATAACACTTTGGACAATGGCTGCCTAGGACAGACCAGGGGCCTGAGAAAATATGCTGCGTTCTGACCAAATGACGCGCAGTTGATACATACTCATTTGAACATGTCTAAGTTTGTCCCAGAAAAAGCTAGAAAAGCCAGGAGGCAGTTTGATATTGCGACAGTTCACACCACAGAGGAATCATGTCGAGTTTCAAGGTAAGCTATTACTATTGTTATGCTGGTAACACATAGACAACACTTACTTGTACATGGATTGAAATCTAGAAAACTAATGTTTAAACCGTCTAAATCAAAACTGACATATTTCATAAACTGTTCTAAGTGTTATTTGTGGTACAGAAAGAGAAATAACTCTGAATATTTAGTTTATGTACAAAATGATGATGAGGTTCACTACATGGGGTTTATTTTCATTCTACTTTGGATTGGGCGACACTTGCGTTATTCAATTACCTATTCTGCAGATGCTGTCATTTATCTCCTTTTATATATATATAGTTAGCCTTTAGAATTTCTTTAAGAATCATACATACTGACTTAAATCATAGTTAAAACTCTTCAACAGTACCATCTGCTATGTTTTACATATCGTCGTGACTGAAACTATCCAAGGTTTGACACGGCTCCTTGTGGCGTCACCCCTTGTGGCACATTAACGATTTTCGTCACGGATGTTGGGTTAGAAGGGATATTTTTGTTTTTGTTTTTAAGTAGTTTTATAAAGCCTTTTAGATCCCGGTAAGCTCCTGTTTCTGTTATTCCGCTTTACACTTAAAGATGTTCATCATTGAAGACAATGTCCATTTTCCGATATAATTGAACACAGTACAAATTTCTGTGTGTTTGTATCCTTAATTAAATACTATGTTAGATTGAATTGTCTAATTAATATTACTGAAGAAAATGCTTATCCGACCGACTTTGTCAGACTGACTAAGTAACATGTGAATTAGGCAGCCATAATTAGCCTTTGAGTCCCATACTAATTTGCCTATAGCATATGTAATTATGAAAACAACATGGGCGCGTGTGGGAGAAAGCCACGAATCTGCAACAAAGAACAGAAAACTAGTTGAACTGAGCATGATATGATGAACCCTATTACCTTATATCTTGCTGTAATGCTTATATGAGTTTTTACGATGAATTTGAACCAAACTCATCGTGTCACTACTAGCCCACATTTTGGCACCCGAGAGATTTTGTTGATGTAGCCTCGTTTGCGATACACATCGTCAATGTTCAAAATACAGCTTGAGGTCTCGTTATTTGTAGGAAATGATTCTTCTGGTCAAGCTGGACACTCGATCGTTCGATACGTTTAATAAAACAGGAATATATATCTGAGAACAGTACTAATTTCCATGGAAACGTTGAAAGTTCGCTTCTATTTGATACAAGAACAAAGAGTCAGAATTACACCTTACTTACATCGCTTTGTTACTTTAACATTGCGATATTTGCTGACGATTGCGATTCTTGGTCGGTACTCTGTATAACGGTATAATAAACTACACGAGTTTGAGTATGAACCTGCTATACACCTGTACTTCCTGGTATCTAGCGACTGATGTTAGGTATACAGACTCGCTGGATTTCTTTTCCGTGTACTGTATTCTGCTCAGGACATTCTGTCTTTATGCCTCTGCCGTAATTTACTCTGAATTAGTAAGAAAAACCGTTTTCGCTTGTGTCTTCTGCTCAATCTTCAAGTTATAAGGTGACTTGTGTGGTGCCACGCAGTATCAGGGGATTACTGTTTCTCTATGGGACAATAGAAGCTGACTGGACGGTCTTTGTCATATCACTATAAATAGTTTATTAACGATCACTTGTTTTTCCACATAGAAATGTGTATGAATTTATCCGCTGTCACCATGGTAACACCTGGGTCCTCCACCATGAATTTATCCGCTGTCACCATTGTAACACCTGGGTCCTCCGCCATGAATTTATCCGCTGTCACCATGGTAACACCTGGGTCCTCCACCATGAATTTATCCGCTGTCACCATTGTAACACCTGGGTCCTCCGCCATGAATTTATCCGCTGTCACCATTGTAACACCTGGGTCCTCCGCCATGAATTTATCCGCTGTCACCATTGTAACACCTGGGTCCTCCGCCATGAATTTATCCGCTGTCACCATGGTAACACCTGGTTCTTCCGCCATGAATTTATCCGCTGTCACCATTGTAACACCTGGGTCCTCCGCCATGAATTTATCCGCTGTCACCATTGTAACACCTGGGTCCTCCGCCATGAATTTATCCGCTGTCACCATTGTAACACCTGGGTCCTCCGCCATGAATTTAACCGCTGTCACCATTGTAACACCTGGGTCCTCCACCATGAATTTATCCGCTGTCACCATGGTAACACCTGGGTCCTCCACCTTTCTTGTTATTCACGTTGTGTGTATGGACACTGATCTTAATTCTACGTCTGTCGAAAGAATGTGATTTCTTTATCTCATCACCATTGTGACAAAGTAACAATTCATCGACTCACCATTTCGAATCCTTATAAGTCTATGTATTCACTCACTCTGCTATATCACTTATACACCATTTACAATATGCAATTACCAACATTTGAACCATTTCAAATTACAGATACAGAATATAAAAAAAACGAAAAAATCAAACTAGAATGTTGTAGTACAATACCAATATTTTAGGGACCAACGACAGCAATTTAATCAATAATTGATGGTATGAATTATTTTGCTTTTTATTCCTCAGTATGAATAGTCACCACTGTTTCTCAGTTTAACAATTCTAATGATGTCTAGTCGCAATTTGATTTGACTGCTAAGTTGAAGGAGGATTTTAAATTTGTAAAGCTCTTCAATTCTAGAAGAAATAGATCTAGATTGCCACGTGGACCAATGCTGCTTCGTGCAGAATTACATCCAATTTACATCCAGTGCACGTGTACATTATAAGAGGATCCACAAACAGAAGGCCACAAGTTAGGACTGGTTATGATTTAAGTTACACCTTTAGAATCTCAATCTAATATTAACAGGGCCACCTGACTTGGCCCACAAGGTCGCTAGATGACCCAGAGCCACCTGACTTGGCCCACAAGGTCGCTAGATGACCCAGGGCCACCTGACTTGGTCCCCAAGGTCGCTAGATGACCCAGGGCCACCTGACTTGGCCCACAAGGTCGCTAGATGACCCAGGGCCACCTGACTTGGCCCACAAGTTCGCTAGATGACCCAGAGCCACCTGACTTGGCCCACAAGGTCGCTAGATGACCCAGGGCCACCTGACTTGGTCCACAAGTTCGCTAGATGACCCAGCCAGGGTCACGTAATTGCGTACATAGTTATGGAGTGAATATTTTAATTTCTACCATAGTACAACTAGGAACAGCGTCACCAGGACACTGCTTGAAACAGCCGACATCCCAGTTACACGACAAGATAAATCTGATCATGTCTACCAAGTTATCTAAGGGCAGTGCCTCACATATATTCCAGTCATACAAACATATAGTTTATGATGTATTGTGAGAATCGTCATTTCTACCACCAATCCTGTTACAGGTAGGAAGAGACCGATGGAAATCCAATAACAGTTGATGTGTTTCTTCCATGAAGGTAGTCACCGAAATGTCACACATCAGTTTTCTGATTGGCTCATGATGGGCAGACATTCGCTAATGTCACATAAGCATTTTCTTTTTGACTCATAACTGTAGGTTGGAAAGCTGCGCTCGATAAATCAGGAGTGCTCAGTTACCATTAATAGTGGGGTGTGGTAAAGGCACCTGGAGTTGTTTGGTTTTGACGATGTAAATTGATGTTTATATATATGTATTATACAAATACATTTAAGACACGTGTGCTGCAGCTAGAACAGTTTATGAGTAGTCGAAAACAACCATTTCTAATAAGATAACTATAAATAAAATGGTCAATGAACTAAGAAAACATTTTTCTGAAGTGATTAAGGGAAATTTGTCAAATAATGACATAGGTATTAAGTAGATGTGTCTAAGTACAGCACAATAGTAATAACTGAAGTGATTAAGGGAAATTTGTCAAATAATGACATAGGTATTAAGTAGATGTGTCTAAGTACAGCACAATAGTAATAACTGAAGTGATTAAGGGAAATTTGTCAAATAATGACATAGGTATCAAGTAGATGTGTCTAAGTACAGCACAATAGTAATAACTGAAGTGTTTAAGGGAAATTTGTCAAATAATGACATAGGTATCAAGTAGATGTGTCTAAGTACAGCACAATAGTAATAACTGAAGTGTTAAAGGGAAATTTGTCAAATAATAGGTATTAAGTAGATGTGTCTAAGTACAGCACAATAGTAATAACTGAAGTGTTTAAGGGAAATTTGTCAAATAATAGGTATTAAGTAGATGTGTCTAAGTACAGCACAATAGTAATAACTGAAGTGATTAAGGGAAATTTGTCAAATAATGACATAGGTATTAAGTAGATGTGTCTAAGTACAGCACAATAGTAATAACTGAAGTGTTTAAGGGAAATTTGTCAAATAATGACATATGTATTAATTAGATGTGTCTAAGTACAGCACAATAGTAATAACTGAAGTGTTTAAGGGAAATTTGTCAAATAATAGGTATTAAGTAGATGTGTCTAAGTACAGCACAATAGTAATAACTGAAGTGATTAAGGGAAATTTGTCAAATAATGACATAGGTATTAAGTAGATGTGTCTAAGTACAGCACAATAGTAATAACTGAAGTGTTTAAGGGAAATTTGTCAAATAATGACATAGGTATTAAGTAGATGTGTGTAAGTACAGCACAATAGTAATAACTGAAGTGTTTAAGGGAAATTTGTCAAATAATGACATAGGTATTAAGTAGATGTGTCTAAGTACAGCACAATAGTAATAACTGAAGTGATTAAGGGAAATTTGTCAAATAATAGGTATTAAGTAGATGTGTCTAAGTACAGCACAATAGTAATAACTGAAGTGTTTAAGGGAAATTTGTCAAATAATGACATAGGTATTAAGTAGATGTGTCTAAGTACAGCACAATAGTAATAACTGAAGTGATTAAGGGAAATTTGTCAAATAATAGGTATTAAGTAGATGTGTCTAAGTACAGCACAATAGTAATAACTGAAGTGTTTAAGGGAACTTTGTCAAATAATGACATAGGTATTAAGTAGATGTGTCTAAGTACAGCACAATAGTAATAACTGAAGTGTTTAAGGGAAATTTGTCAAATAATGACATAGGTATTAAGTAGATGTGTCTAAGTACAGCACAATAGTAATAACTGAAGTGATTAAGGGAAATTTGTCAAATAATGACATAGGTATCAAGTAGATGTGTCTAAGTACAGCACAATAGTAATAACTGAAGTGTTTAAGGGAAATTTGTCAAATAATGACATAGGTATCAAGTAGATGTGTCTAAGTACAGCACAATAGTAATAACTGAAGTGTTAAAGGGAAATTTGTCAAATAATAGGTATTAAGTAGATGTGTCTAAGTACAGCACAATAGTAATAACTGAAGTGTTTAAGGGAAATTTGTCAAATAATAGGTATTAAGTAGATGTGTCTAAGTACAGCACAATAGTAATAACTGAAGTGATTAAGGGAAATTTGTCAAATAATGACATAGGTATTAAGTAGATGTGTCTAAGTACAGCACAATAGTAATAACTGAAGTGTTTAAGGGAAATTTGTCAAATAATGACATATGTATTAAGTAGATGTGTCTAAGTACAGCACAATAGTAATAACTGAAGTGTTTAAGGGAAATTTGTCAAATAATAGGTATTAAGTAGATGTGTCTAAGTACAGCACAATAGTAATAACTGAAGTGATTAAGGGAAATTTGTCAAATAATGACATAGGTATTAAGTAGATGTGTCTAAGTACAGCACAATAGTAATAACTGAAGTGTTTAAGGGAAATTTGTCAAATAATGACATAGGTATTAAGTAGATGTGTGTAAGTACAGCACAATAGTAATAACTGAAGTGTTTAAGGGAAATTTGTCAAATAATGACATAGGTATTAAGTAGATGTGTCTAAGTACAGCACAATAGTAATAACTGAAGTGATTAAGGGAAATTTGTCAAATAATAGGTATTAAGTAGATGTGTCTAAGTACAGCACAATAGTAATAACTGAAGTGTTTAAGGGAAATTTGTCAAATAATGACATAGGTATTAAGTAGATGTGTCTAAGTACAGCACAATAGTAATAACTGAAGTGATTAAGGGAAATTTGTCAAATAATAGGTATTAAGTAGATGTGTCTAAGTACAGCACAATAGTAATAACTGAAGTGTTTAAGGGAACTTTGTCAAATAATGACATAGGTATTAAGTAGATGTGTCTAAGTACAGCACAATAGTAATAACTGAAGTGTTTAAGGGAAATTTGTCAAATAATGACATAGGTATTAAGTAGATGTGTCTAAGTACAGCACAATAGTAATAACTGAAGTGATTAAGGGAAATTTGTCAAATAATAGGTATTAAGTAGATGTGTCTAAGTACAGCACAATAGTAATAACTGAAGTGATTAAGGGAAATTTGTCAAATAATAGGTATTAAGTAGATGTGTCTAAGTACAGCACAATAGTAATAACTGAAGTGTTTAAGGGAAATTTGTCAAATAATAGGTATTAAGTAGATGTGTCTAAGTACAGCACAATAGTAATAACTGAAGTGTTTAAGGGAAATTTGTCAAATAATAGGTATTAAGTAGATGTGTCTAAGTACAGCACAATAGTAATAACTGAAGTGTTTAAGGGAACTTTGTCAAATAATGACATAGGTATTAAGTAGATGTGTCTAAGTACAGCACAATAGTAATAACTGAAGTGATTAAGGGAAATTTGTCAAATAATAGGTATTAAGTAGATGTGTCTAAGTACAGCACAATAGTAATAACTGAAGTGTTTAAGGGAACTTTGTCAAGTAATGACATAGGTATTAAGTAGATGTGTCTAAGTACAGCACAATAGTAATAACTGAGGTGTTTAAGGGAAATTTGTCAAATAATGACATAGGTATTAAGTAGATGTGTCTAAGTACAGCACAATAGTAATAACTGAAGTGTATGTTGTACACTAACCTCAGAAGAAGAGATAGTTTGTAAAAAGAGTAATGGCTTCAACGTTTGGGGAAAATGTTGCTTAGACCTGACCAAGGAGCAAATTATACAATGATTATCTACTTCGTCATTATTGATGCGATTTGAAACTTTATCACACACGGATAAATACATATTTGATTTTCCAGGCTGAGGATTTAACACCAGATCAAGTTGCAGGTATGTTTAGATGTTGTTAATCACACACATTAATGTCATTGTTGTTCAGAAAGTCTCACAACCCTACACATGTCGCCACGGTCAAAGTACATTTCTGCATAAAAACCGGGCGATCAATAAGTTCGTTCTAGGACCCTCTATTATGTGTGTCGGCTCATCTTGGTGAGACAATTTTAACTGTGACTGAAGTTCTTCATTCTTCTCTTCACACTGTAAACTATCATCTTGCAACAAAAGCCAAATGGAGAAAGCTATCGGGGTATTTGTAATATTGTGTGACATCCTGATTAACAGTTGATTACATTTTAAAATGATAACATACGTGACCAGTTTTTCGTTGTCAAATATTCACGTGCAATTATTCATTTTAATGGTATTATTTTCCGTGTTCTTTATTTCCATAGAAGTCTATCCTTTGCACATACTTTTCTCTCAGTTCACTGATTTTGAGATTGTGTTTACATATCAGTATTTTCTGATTCTTTAATCTGTTATTTGTCTCTGCTTCTTCCTATTCTAACTATGTATTAAAACGTACTTTTCATTTTGTTTTCCTACAAATATATTGACAGTTTAATTAATATGGAATCATGCTCATCAATACTATACATTTTGCTTCTTTTGATTTCTTCGTTTGTTCATCAATTTGTGCCTTAATAAACCGATACGAACGGTATGTTTACTGCCAGAATGCAAGGAGGCGTTCGGCATGTTCGACAAGGACGGCGATGGTACCATCACTACCAAGGAACTGACGACGGTGATGAGATCACTGGGCCAGAACCCAACAGAGGCTGAACTCAGGAGCATGCTCCAAGAAGTGGATGCTGATGGTAAGAGATGGGAGCCATTTAAGCCATTCTAGTGACTGTCACCGATACGTTTTATCTTTAGTGAATGGACACCTTGTGGTTAGGACGTCATGATATGGCATGATATTAAGGTCAGCTTTACCTTACTTTAAAAGGTTGCAATAGCGAGCTGATGCATTACTAGTGTTGAAGGCGTATCATTTTCCTCTAATTTTTCTTAACTTTTCATATCTTTGTGACTCCCCAGACTCCAACACAACAAAGATACTACATATTGCATACACTATTGAGAAATTACAAAACCTATGCTGTTTTCAAAATAGTATGTTCGAATGAATTTTCTAGGAAGTGGAACTATAGATTTCTGCGAATTTCTCACCATGATGGCGAAACGGATGGGAAATGCTCCAGAGTCCCCCGAAGAACAGATGCTAGAAGCATTCCGACTGTTCGACAGGGATGGAAATGGCTCCATTAGTCCGGAGGAACTGAAGCAGGTGATGGCTAACTTGGGCGAAAAGTTGACAGACGAGGAGCTGGACTGCATGATCAAGGAGGCTGACACAGACGGAGACGGGAGCGTTAATTATGAGGGTAAGATACCATCACCTAATCATCTGGTGATGGTACACTGAAAAAACATAAACTTCCTTTCTTTGTAAATTATCCAAAGTGATATCGAAATCAGTTTATCATGTGGATCTCGGCCCCTCTTCTCTAGTATATGTAACATCCTTTATTTGGACGTGATTTGTCTGACTCGCCCTTTAAATAAATACTGTTACTTAAACAGACCAGTACATGTGTATTAAAAAGCATGTTTTTTTTAAAGTAGTTAACACCAATCTTTTATGGTCAAGTGAACTTGTTTTGTTTTTTTGTTTTGTTTCAGAATTTGTGAAGATGATGAGCAGCCGATGAAGTCCTGGGATTGTAGATTATGTACATATCATCATATTGTGTAGACAGATGGACTGCATTGATGGCAGTTTGTGCCTGTGAAATTCATCACTGAAATGTTATCCTTAGTAACATTATTATTGTAAGACTGAATCGTTGCAACGTTTTGACCCAACTTTCAAAGATGTACTTGGTTAATTAATCACAATACCCTAACATCAACGTAATGATCTTCCTTTATTGGAATACATTCTGAAAATGCCATAAATAGGTTTCGAAGTTTTGACATTTCTATTGAAAATAAAATGTTTAAACAATATAATTTCTTTATTTGTTTTCACAGGATCATTATGTGTTTGACGCACGGGCACTTCATTAACAAAACGCCTCAAGTTACTTAGAGAAGATCCCAAGTTCTTGATCGAGAAAAAAAATTACTGTTTACTTGAAAGTGATATACAAATATTATTTTCGATATGTGTGAATGCTATTTTGACACAAAGATCCTTTCCTTTCTCCCTGATGATGTATTCCTTACCTCGGACGCGATAGTCTTTGGTCGAAAATACCATTAATGTTAAAAGCGAAATGAGGGCTGGACACAATCGTACTCATAATGGCGACCGATTCATCGATAACTAGGATAGCAGTTATCGAGGGATGATAACAATGTTAGCATACATTGCTGTTATACGTCAGGAGTGATGGAACTTATAGGTCAGAGAACAAATAACGTTTTACAAGTTCTTGTTTGTGTTTAAAAACACGACTGAAGTTACACTATCTACGTTTTCTTGCTTTACAGCGCAGTTATGGAGTGTCGCCATGTCATTGTTTTAGGCAAAATCATAGCAAATTATTCTTGGATTTTCCCCCCTTCTGCATCAAGAACCTTTGGTCACTACAAAACCCAATTTGGTATGTCTCAGAAAATTACCGGTCATAAAATATTTGATAAATCAATTATATTTCATGAAAATGCATTGTTGGCCAAAATCCCCATATAGTTATTTATAATAGATGAGCTTTAGTTTGAAGATACCTACATATTATTCCTGCTTTATATATCCTATTCTTTACAAACTTAATCTGTATTCATTGGTAAAAACACCAGGAGCACTAACAAATAGTCACAAGATCATTAATCTCGTTTATAAAGTTCCTCAAATAATTCTCTTTTTCAAAATTTCATCGCTCAGAAGAACTAGCAGTCGGGTATTTTCAGTATATGAATTATTTCCAACTGTATCACTTTAGAAGCTGTATTATCTAGCATGTTTGTATACAGGACGTGCAAATTTTCCTTGAAAAAAAAAATGAAAAAAATAAATGAAAAGAAATTGGGCATATGTAGATTTTCACGTCTAGCTTTGTATTTGTTGTGGATAAATAGGAATTATGTAGATATATACCCTTAGTTCTGTATGTGTTACCCAATCCCCAACCCATCAATATATTAAAGGCAAAATAAAATTTGAAAAAAAAAAATATATATAATTTGAGGTTCATTAGTCTCACAAGTATTATAAATACAAAAGTTCATGTTCGTGTTGAAATACAACTGAAGGGAAGTAATCCAGTTCCTAATATGCAAACTCCTTCTATACACACATACTGATCATGTAAATGGCCCCGCCATTGTCGGAAAACACCTGCCACATATAATTTGGCTATATTCGACTGTGACGGAAAACATCTGTTTTTAGCACGTGCGGTCATTCGACAGAATTACTCTCTGAATTTACTTTGAAATTACATTTAATGATATCATTAACTGATGAAATAGGCGATTTCATATGTCATAAAGAACAAGTTTATTTACGAAAATTCATAAAAATTCAGCGTAACGTCAAGGACAGGTAAACAAAGTTTGAACAACAAAACTACTGAAGTTTTGATGGTCTGATTTTCAATCCATGTTGCAGAATAAAAACAATACATGGTCAGTGTCTTAAAACATGTACCGTGGTTTGGCTCGAGACAGAAAGACAAAAGTAGCTTGCCAAAAACAGCTAAAATTTTAAGACACTGTTCATCCTGCAACAGGAGCTGCCATTTTCGGATTACACCTGCCACATATTTTGCTGTATTCGGTAGTGACGGTAGTATATTAATTTCTCAATTTACTTAAACACTCCTTTTTACAATATAAATAACTGCAGAAATAAGCGATTGAAATGCTGTTATGAAAAAGTTTATTTACGAAAAGTCTTTGTCATGTCCGACCAACTTTGGAACTATCTTTCTGCGGGGAACAATTATTTTGGCGTACGTTATAGGGGAAAACATTCAGCGTTACGTTATAGGGGAAAACATTCAGCGTTACGTTATAGGGGAAAACATTCAGCGTTACGTTATGGGGAAAACATTCAGCGTTACGTTATAGGGGAAAACATTCAGCGTTACGTTATAGGGGAAAACATTCAGCGTTACGTTATAGGGGAAAACATTCAGCGTTACGTTATAGGGGAAAACATTCAGCGTTACGTTATAGGGGAAAACATTCAGCGTTACGTTAAATACACAAAGATTGGATAAAGCTTTTCAAGTTTTGGATAAGGAGACCAGAAACCAGATATATTGTACCAGAGACATTGTACCGGAGACATTGTACCGGAGACATTGTACCAGAGACCAGATATATTGTACCAGAGACATTGTACCGGAGACATTGTACCAGAGACATTGTACCGGAGACATTGTACCGGAGACATTGTACCAGAGACCAGATACATTGTACCAGAGACATTTTACCAGAGACCAGAGACATTGTACCAGAGACATTGTACCGGAGACATTGTACCAGAAACCAGATATATTGTACCAGAGACATTGTACCAGAGACATTGTACCAGAGACATTGTACCGGAGACATTGTACCGGAGACATTGTACCAGAGACATTGTACCGGAGACATTGTACCAGAGACCAGATACATTGTACCAGAGACATTTTACCAGAGACCAGAGACATTGTACCAGAGACATTTTACCAGAGATCAGAGACATTGTACCGAAGACATTGTACCAGAGACATTGTACCGGAGACATTGTACCAGAGACATTGTACCGGAGACATTGTACCAGAGACATTGTACCAGAGACCAGAGACATTGTACCGAAGACATTGTACCAGAGACCAGAGACATTGTACCGAAGACATTGTACCAGAGACCAGAGACATTGTACCAGAGACATTTTACCAGAGATCAGAGACATTGTACCGAAGACATTGTACCAGAGACATTGTACCGGAGACATTGTACCAGAGACATTGTACCAGAAACCAGATATATTGTACCAGAGACATTGTACCGGAGACATTGTACCAGAAACCAGATATATTGTACCAGAGACATTGTACCGGAGACATTGTACCAGAGACATTTTACCAGAGACCAGAGACATTGTACCGAAGACATTGAACCAGAGACATTGTACCGGAGACATTGTACCAGAGACATTGTACCAGAGACCAGAGACATTGTACCGAAGACATTGTACCAGAGACATTGTACCAGAGACATTTTACCAGAGACCAGAGACATTGTACCGAAGACATTGTACCAGAGACATTGTACCGGAGACATTGTACCAGAGACATTGTACCAGAAACCAGATATATTGTACCAGAGACATTGTACCGGAGACATTGTACCAGAAACCAGATATATTGTACCAGAGACATTGTACCGGAGACATTGTACCAGAGACATTTTACCAGAGACCAGAGACATTGTACCGAAGACATTGAACCAGAGACATTGTACCGGAGACATTGTACCAGAGACATTGTACCAGAGACCAGAGACATTGTACCGAAGACATTGTACCAGAGACATTGTACCAGAGACCAGATATATTGTACCAGAGACATTGTACCGGAGATATTGTACCAGAAACATTGTACCAGAAACCAGATATATTGTACCAGAGACATTGTACCGGAGACATTGTACCAGAAACCAGATATATTGTACCAGAGACATTGTACCGGAGACATTGTACCAGAGACATTTTACCAGAGACCAGAGACATTGTACCGAAGACATTGTACCAGAGACATTGTACCGGAGACATTGTACCAGAGACATTGTACCAGAAACCAGATATATTGTACCAGAGACATTGTACCGGAGACATTGTACCAGAAACCAGATATATTGTACCAGAGACATTGTACCGGAGACATTGTACCAGAGACATTTTACCAGAGACCAGAGACATTGTACCGAAGACATTGAACCAGAGACATTGTACCGGAGACATTGTACCAGAGACATTGTACCAGAGACCAGAGACATTGTACCGAAGACCAGAGACATTGTACCAGAGACATTGTACCAGAGACCAGATACATTGTACCAGAGACATTGTACCAGAGACCAGAGACATTGTACCAGAGACATTGTACCAGAGATATTGTACCAGAGACCAGAGACATTGTACCAGGAACCAGAGACATTGTACTCTCGACATTATACCAGAGATATTGTACAAGAGACATTGTTTCGGGAACCTTGTACCAGAGACCAGAGACATTGTATCAGAGACATTGTACCGGAGACATTGTACCGGAGACATTGTACATGCGATATTGTACCAGAGACCAGAGACATTGTACCAGAGACCAGATACATTGTACCAGAGACATTGTTCCAGAGACCAGAGACATTGTTCAGGAGACATTGTACCAGAGAGCAGAGACATTGTACCAGAGACCAGAGACATTGTACCGGAGACATTGTACCAGAAACATTGTACCGGAGACATTGTACCAGAGACATTGTACCGGAGACATTGAACCAGAGACCAGAAACATTGTACCAGAGACCAGAGACATTGTACCGGAGACATTGTACCAGAGACCAGAGACATTGCACCAGGAACCAGAGACATTGTACCCTCAACATTATACCAGAGATATTGTACAAGAGACATTGTTTCGGGAACCTTGTACCAGAGACCAGAGACATTGTATCAGAGACATTGTACCGGAGACATTGTACATGCGATATTGTA